CCTGTTGGGTCGACACCGAACCGCGGTGCGCCCTGAGCCGGGCGGGGCTGCCTTCCCTTTGGAACGTGATACCGGTGCTTCGTGGATGGGCCACGCTTCTGGGTCGGCAACTTCTGGAGGAGCGTCCGAGGGCAGTGACCGGCCCCGAGGTCGCCCGCCGGGGTCGCTGGGGCGCTGGGCTCGGCAGGATGGGTTCGCCTGGCTTCCCAGGGGCGCTGGGTGAATGGGATCTTTCCGTGTAGCCGCCTTCACTCTTCTCCCCTTCGGGGCTTGGCGTGTTGGCCCCTTTGCATCATTGGGATCGAACGTATCATTTTGCTTGAAGTCACAGTTCATGAATGAATGCCTATTAAGACGGCAGGCAAGGTCTTAGTTACCTTTCAACCACGATTCTCGTCTCATCTCGGCGGGGAACAGAAACGGTTCCGTTCCTGCTCTAAAACGAGTAGGAATGTGTTGAGTGTGTGTATGGAATGGACTGACCGCACCGGTCAGGCTGTGGTGAGGACATTTCCAGCATTTTATGCCGTTCACATAAAATTCCAGAGAGGGAGGTTCTATGTAAAGCCTTTTGCTGCACTTGTGGTCTGTGCTGAGGAACATGAGCCACAGCCCCCTGTGCAGCTGGTCTCTACGATCCTTCCAGGTAAGAAATAAGTTAGATAAATCTGCCTCTTGTATGAACCTGCTCCGACAGAGGCGTCTTTATGTGTTGTCCACTTAATAGATTATTACTGAATATTTACAACGATCGTTTTATAAATGTATTCTCCTTCCTCGCCCACAACCAATCTCTCTTAAAGTTTACATTATAAACACCATTAAGTGTTTGATATGTAACTCTAAACTTTTTTACAACCCCAATTACATTTTATTGCATTGGCCATGTGTTTTCTAGGCAGCAGTGGACTCCTTCAAGCCGGCTAAAAGTGCTGGTGGTGCTCTTTCCGAGGGTCATGCGGTGCTGTGGTTTTTAAGGGAATAGGAAAATCTATAAAATGCTAGGTTGTTGCTTCCCCTCCTGTCCCCCCTTCTCGGAGGAAGTTGTTTCCTGGTTTTAAGGAATGCAAGATTTCACTTCAGCAAAACAGTCGATCTAAATTGTATCACACAGTACTGTTTCTGCTTCCAAGTCTACTGAAAAGGCTTTTGTTTTTGCTAGCTTGTTTTGTGTATCACTTGTTAAATAATGCTGAATGATATCCACTGATCTTGTTGGCGCTCGCTCTCTCTCTCTCTCTCTCTCTCTCTCTCTCTCTCTCTCTCTCTCTCTCTCTCTCTCTCTCTCTCTCTCTCTCTCTCTCTCTCTCTCTCTCTCTCTCTCTCTCTCTCTCTCTCTCTCTCTTGCTTTTTAAATCTGCTCTGCCTCCCAAATTGTGTTGGCCATGAGAATTTTCCTTTAGGAGTGCCATAAAGGTTGGAAAGAGCTGTGTAGTCACCAGTATCTGTGAAAGGTTGTACTAGTAAACATATTGCTGAATCAGTGCAGCTCAAAACTTGGCACACTTAGGCATGGGAGCAGGGAATTCTGGACTCTCCCACTGCAGGTTGGGTATTGTGTAAGCTTACCTTATGCTCTGCTGAGCAATGGAGATTCCTTTTCTCGTGTGATGCGTGTCAGATGTTCCCCAGTGCTGAGCACAGGAATAATGTAGGCTGCATGCCATTATCCTCAGTTGCTATAAGCACAGATGTTTTGCATCATAGATTTAAGGTCCACAAATTGTGTGTAATTTTAGTGAAGGTATTCATTAAATATCTCAGATTTTTGTACCTTTGTTGGGTTTTTCCCATTGATTTTGAGAGAGTGGAAAGGAAGGAGGGAGAGAGAGAGCGATAGAGAGAAAACACTGATATGAGAGAAATACGTCAATTGGTTGCCTCGCATGCACCCCAGCCCTGGGCGGGAAGGAACCTGCAACCCAGATACGTGTGCCCTTGACCAGAAATCGAACCCACCACCCTTCAATGCATGGACTGGCGCTCTAACCGCTGAGCACACCAGCCAGGGCCCTTTGTTGGACTTTTCACATAAAAATACTCATGCCTGCCCAAAGAAAACTTACTGTTAGACCATCTGGGCCCCCTCCTCTGGACTCCCACAGCAGTTTGTTCACAGCATGTTATAACTCAGCTGGTTGGGCATGATGGCATATTTTAATCTTTCTGTTTCCTCAAGGTCTAGAACCACTAAGTGATCATTAAATACTAGATGAATCACATTTGCTCATTGTTCCACAAATGAGAACTAATGGCCTACTTAACGTTAGGTATGCTATGAGATCTTGGAGGGAAAAAAAGTTAAGACAGATATGGCCCCTGCACTCCAAGGGCTTACAGCCCTGGTAGGGAAAGACCAGAACACCATCACCACCACCAGTAACAACAACCAAAAAAAGGTTAGAGTGTGATAAGTGCTGTGAACGGTCATAGCAGAGGAGGGGGCTGTGCTGATTAGAAGTGGAGAGGTTGCAGTAGCTATAGATAGGCCTGTGATCAGTGTTATCCAGGGGGTGGGAATGTTTTACTTTAAAACATTCACTTTTATTATTATGATTTATGAAAACATATCCTCAGTTAACAAGTAGACTGTGCTACAGAATGACAGGTTTCTTTATAAGCTCCTTGACGGCTTTCCGTAACATCAGGATGAAAACTCCTTGCTGTGGACCATAACCCTCTGCACTGTCTGGCTTTTCAAACGTCATTGTATTCCACTCTTTTTGTGTGTGTGTGGGGGGGGTTAATTGAGATATTATTAACATATAACATTTGATGAATGACGTATATTAAAATATGACACAATTATATGACATTATATGAACATGATGCTGGTTTCCGGTGTGCAACATGCTGATTTTATATATGTATTTGTTGGGAAGTGATCACCACAGTAACTCTTCCATCTGGTTTACGACTCCGCAGCCATACTGGTCTCAAAGGTGCCTGGACGAGATAAGATTTTTCTTGCCTCAGGGCCGGTTCCCTCTTTGTGGATGGTTTCTGCTGCTCTTGGATTTGGTGTCCATGCTGCCTCTTCCCAGACTTCGGCCGCCTTATTCACGCTGCGCACCCTCACCTGTTTTCTGGCTCCACACTTTGTTTTTGTCATAGCACCGATCACAATGTGTCATCTTAGTTGCTTGTTTACCTGTCTTTAGTTATTTTCACGCGGGACCTGGGACTGTGTCTGTCTTGTTTACTGCACTGAGAGATTGGCCGGATGCATTTGGAACTTGGGATCCATTTTCTCATAAAAACTTAGGACTGGTGGCTAGGTTTCTCTAGCCAGCAATAATTTTAATTTCTTTCTTAGTCATATTTTTCTTTTTTAGTTCCTTGTAGTGTGGCAAGAAAATGATATTTTCTCTCATCCTTTGGCCATAGACCTGGCTGAGATAAAAATCCTACGTGGCTGAAATAATTTTTGGTCATATCCGTTCCTCTTTTCCATATCGCCATCCCACGTCCTTGTCTCCTTTCTCTCCATATAGTCTGATCTTCCTATTGTAGTCACCTACCCTGTCCTGCCCTCGTGAAATAGGCATGCTTTTCATTTGCTAAAATTCAGAAGCTCCTATTTTTTCCTGAGATGATTTTCCTGTCAATAGCCTCTGCATTTCAGGCGTGATGGAGGGAGGTGGGGCTGTGGCAGTGAGGGCAACCTCTGTGGTTGTGTGTTCGTGTTGAAAGCATAGTATGTCGGGGGCTACATGTATCTGAATGTGTGTTTGCAATCTTGTTGCTAACAGCTTCACAGAGACAATCTTGCCAAATTGAAATGTTCAAAAACTTTTTGCCTTTTTCCCCCCTGGGTGAATTAGACAGTGGCTAGATCTAGAAAGGTTTGTCAAAATGTAGATTTTTCCAAGAGAGCAATAGAGGGTTAAAAAAAAAAATCTAGGTCAGCAAGGGAAAACACCCAGAAGGAAAAGTATCAGTTTATCATACAGTCCTGCCAAACGCTCAAACTTAAAACCATTAGGATCGGTTGCTTGTAGCTGTTAGTGCCAGAAGTGGGCCAGCACCCTCAATATGTTACCTTTAAAAAAGGGGGGGGGGAGAATGGAATACTATAATAATAAAATATAAGTTAAGTTGGCTAAACTTTCTGTTCCAGCTTTAAGTGGAATCCCATGAGAGCATACCAAATATAAAAACGCATACTAAGTTTGACTATAGAAAAGCTGGCTTACTATAAAGCTAAGTATTTCAGTGGTTATCAGTCTGTCACTTGATCTAAAACGATCTTGTAACCAGTTGTTTGACATTATATAAGTATTGCTTACAGTTGTAATCAATTGGTTTGTGACATAGGTCGACTAAAGAAATGTCCAAACCTGTTGAGAACTTTTATGAATTTAAACTGACAATTGCCAGGAAGCGAAATCTCAACAGATTGAGAAAATGCTCCAGAGAATGGTAGTTTTGCTGCTTATTTTATACATGAGAATCAAAGGAGGTGGGCGGGGGGGGAATACATGAAATTCATCGGTAGTAGATTTGGGAGGTGGGAGAAAGCAAAGCTGGGGAATCTCTGAGAGTGGATGAAGAGTAAACCATAGCGACACGTACAGTATTTTACTTTGGTGAGTATAGGATAGTTAACAATTAATATTTATTGTACGTAGAGATGGTTTTGGGGGAATAAGATAACAATGAGGGGTTCTGTGGTCTGTGCTCTGTTGCAGTGGGTGTGCCCTGAGGAGTCTGGAAAAGGAGACCTTCCAAGGATGTTATTTTAGATGCAAAAAGACAGTAGACAAGCTCACTTAAAGTTAAGGTTGACTTCTGTCAAGGAAGCTACAGGCCTAGGATGTGACTACCCACCATGACCTGCCGTTAGCTATGCTCAGACCATCCTGCGTGGTTACGTTTGGTGTCTGAGTCCGCAAGGCCCACCATGCAGGCCTCCCCTGAGCTTGTCGGGTTTAACATGTGGCCCCTCTTTCGTGCAGACAGTTATCAAGTTCCATGACTGACTGTGATTTTGGATGCCACTTTAGATTTTTTGTGACACTGAAATTTTGGAATTTGTTGCTTATGGTAGTAAAGGCAAGAAGTCCTGGGCATGTTTTGATACTAGATCCATTGTTGAGATGTCCTAGACCCCGGATCACATTCTGTGTCCCGCGGTGCGGCATTTCTGGGAATGTCACAGAGCGTTCTGGGCATCTCTCTACCAGATCAGTGTGCACCCTCTTGGTACAATGCCACCACTGAAGATTATTCCTTTTGTTTCGTTTTGTTTTGTTTTTCAAGTCTCTTACGGCTTCTTTTTCTCCTGCTCCCTAAATGTGAGTTTCCCACGAGGTTCTTTGTTTCATTTTCTCTTCAGACCTAATCCCTTTGAGAACTTTCCTACTTTTTAGCCTTAAACTAGACTTTAGCTTCTAAAGTGATAACGATATTTTCATCTCGTACCCAAACTCCCAGTCATTTGATTTTGTCTGAAACACCTGTACCTAAAAGGTGCACATCTGTATTTCCTACCCTCAGCCCCAGGTCCTCTCTCATCCCCCACCCGCCACCAAAAGCCAAATAACCAGCTGATTCTTCTTGCCAACCCCTGTTCACAGTAGGACCACAAGTCTCTGCTGATTACTTTTTTCCTCTGCTCCTTCTAGTCCCCAAGTACTTTCTTTTGACTCTTCCTTTTATTTTTTTTTCCAATATATTTTATTGATTTTTTACAGAGAGGAAGGGAGAGAGATAGAGAGTTAGAAACATCGATCAGCTGCCTCCTGCACATCTCCTACTGGGGATGTGCCCGCAACCCAGGTACATGCCCTTGACTGGACTCGAACCTGGGACCTTTCAGTCCGCAGGCCGACGCTCTATCCACTGAGCCAAACCGGCTTCGGCTTGACTCTTCCTTTTAAATAGAAATTACTTAAAGATTTGACTGTCTTTCATGTTTCCATTTTTACCAACCTACTCTAGGCCCTCACCACTTCAAACCTTTGAAGTCTCCATACTAAGTGTTGTTTGTTTATTTATTTTTTTTAAATTCTCAACCAAGGACATGCTTTTATTGATTTTAAAGAAAGAGGAAGGGAGAGAGAGAGAGAGAGAGAGAGAGAGAGAGAGAGAGAGAAACATCAATGTGAGAGCGAAACATTGATCGGTTGCCTCCCGAGCATGTCCTGACCAGGGATTGAACCCACAACCTAGGTATGTGCCCTAATCAGGAATCCAACCTGTGACCTTTCATTGTATATTGTATGGGCAATACTCCAATCAACGGAGCCATACTAATTTTTAAATGTTCTCACTATCTCTATTCTGATTAATATATATCTATCCTATTAATCTTGAAAATACACGTCATTCTTTTCTTACACTGCTTAATAACAATAATTATGTTATCTCTAATATGTTTTGAGTCACGTACTTCAGGGATTAAACTCAAAGTCCTTTGTGAACAGTCATCACCAATTCACGTAGCCTTTTTCCTTATCACCTCAGTTCATCGGTCACACTGCTGATACCATCTGTCCTCTGAAAGTCACCTTTTCATTGCTCTTGACCCCCACCTGGAATACTGTCTGTAGAGAATCCTTTTCTACTGGTGAGAAGTTTTATCTTTTATTTTAGCTTAAACAGGAAACCTGTGTTTGTCTGGACCTCACAAGGAAATCAGCCCCTCTTTGCCTTAGTTTCACTTTCTGTAAAAATAGGTATAATTAACAGTCCTTACCTTCGGGGGTTGTTGTGAGGATTAAATGAGTTAATATGGGAAACATGAAAACATGCTTTAAGTTTTTCGTACATAGTAAGTGCTCAATAAATGTCAACTGTCAGCATTAAACAAAAATCTAGTTTAAGACCCATGATGTAAATACTCATTTGCTAGCTCTTGGGCTATGCCTTTGGACCTCCGTTTTCATGTATTAGAAATGATTCGATCACTTATAAGATTTGTTCCATTATAGTACTGAAGGCAGTGAGGTAAAAAAAGACCATGAGCTTTGAAGTTACACTGTAAGGGAACAGGAAGCACCATCAATAAGAACTAAAACGAAAAGCAAACCCCTGGTTTTCTGGTCCCAGTTTGAAAGTCTATTATCAGTTTGACTTTTTATTTTTTTAATTTACTGACATTGATGTAAATAATGGCTGACAAAACTTTTGTTTACACCCCCCCCCCCCCACCCCCTCCCCCCCCCCCCCCAGAGAAAGACCAGCCACAAAAAGCTGTAAAGCAAGATAAATTATTCTCTCCGAATAAAATAAAGCCAGAGTCCATGAGTGGCCAGCGGTCGTCCAAGAAACGATGTGGGGACGCGCGCGCGGAGTCCCCCGTGGGCTTCGGGCACATGAGTACTCCAGGGTGTGTGTTAAACAAGTTGTTTCAGCTGCCCACGCCACCGCTGTCCAGGCACCAGCTCAAGCGGCTGGAAGAGCACAGATACCAGAGTGCCGGGCGGTCCCTGCTGGAGCCCCTGATGCAGGGGTACTGGGAGTGGCTCGTGGGAAGAGTCCCCTCCTGGATCGCCCCGAACCTCATCACCATCATCGGGCTGTCCATAAACATCTGCACGACAGTCTTATTAGTCTTTTACTGCCCTACAGCTACAGAGCAGGTAAGGAATTTCTTCATGACAATGACGCACATGTGTTACATACCAGCAACACCGTCATTCGGGTTTCTAGGTCAGTCTAGCTAAAGATCAGATACTCTAACAACTTCTTGCCAACTCTTTTCAAATATCCTGCCACGTAAGATATTTTCATAAAACTTGCTACTGCAACCCACCTCATACACTATGGGTACGAGAAACCATAAGTAGAGGGTGGACTCTGATTCTGGTAGGTAAATTAATGTTAGTGGGGATTAATACGTAAAACGTCCCTTTTAGAATCAGTAAATCTCAATTCTTTAAAAAAGAGTTTTCTTTCTTTTTTGGGGGTGGGGAGGGAGGATGGCTGAATACAATCTTAGCAGAGTTTAAAATAATCAGAGAGAGCAGTCTGCAGTAGCGAGGTGCACGCTGTACATCAGTCATATCCAAAGTGTTGTCCTCTTCCTTCCAGGGCGATTGTTGAATATCGCTCTTCTCTCCCGTAAACACATGTGGCTGGTAGACCTCCGATATCTCTGTGATTCTAAAAGGCGAGAGAAGTGTAAGAAAAAGTCAATGTCATGGTTCCCCTGCTCTGTGTCCCGCCGTGGCTGCCGTTCAGAAAGGAAGCATGGGATTGCTTGGGGACGCCCTACCGGGGCCGCCTCAGACGCAGTGTCTACTGCTGCTTCCTCTGTTTCCCTCTGAGCTCATTACTTAAAACCAAAACTGAAACCAGGACCCTTCATCAGAGTGGGTACATCGTGTACTTATTTGGTTTTAAAATGTCCTTGTCAGAAAGTGAACTGCGGTAGTTAGGCAGAGGAAAGAACCAAATGTGTGTTATGCCCATACTAATCAGAATGGTTGGTCACACGGAACCCAAGAAAATAGAAGGTGGTTCTCAACTAAAGGTGTTAAAAGTGACCCTGAACCATGCGTCATAATGGCCACACATTTCTTGTATGTTTTAAGCTTGAAATAACAATTTTCTAAGTAGTCATGTCATATGATTTGTCCTTACAGGTGATATTGTCATCATCTATCCTTTTCTGTTTTCATCAATTCATAGTTGCATTTTTTTTCCCAGAGCTCATTTCCCCCTCATCCTTGAATAACTAGTTTAATTCCTCTTCAACTACACAAATCCAGTCCATACAGATTGAATGGACACATTCTGGTTTTTCCTCATTTTCTTAACTATCGTACTTTACATCAGTCAGGAAACTTACAAAACACAAGCCAGTCTAACTTTACATATGATGGGGGACGGTTTCCCAAGGCAGGCACTAAAGGCTTACGTAGAACAGGGCAGGATGGAGAGGGTTACTCGGGTGTGACCCACTCGGTTGGGGCAGGGCAACGGCCAGTTCCAGGAACCAGCTGACAGTAGGAGGGGATTTCCCGGAAGCCACCTCTGTTCTGGCCCGGGGCCATCTGGACCTGGCCAGCAGGCCCTGCAGTGGTCAGGCCGGGACCTGTCATGAACTAGTCTCCTCCTCCACAAGTATGTCCTTGGATTCTTTCTTTTTTAAAAAAAAAAATACATTTTTATTGATTTCAGAGAGGAAGGGCGAGGGAGAGAGAGATAGAAACATCCATGATGAGAGAGAATCATGGATCGGCTGCCTCCTGCAAGCCCCACACTGGGGATGGAGCCCAAAACCTGGGCATGTGCCCTGGCCTGGAATCGCACCGTGACCTCCTGGTTCATAGATTGACACTCAGCCACTGAGCCACACCAGCTGGCTGTCCTTGGATTCCTTATTACCTGTGCTTTGAGCTGTTTTACAAGTAGCTTACTTGAGGTCCTGACAGCTACTTCCAGATTGCCCACATCTTTAGAGATACAGAAGAATAACAGGGAAGTGGGTCGATTCCAGTAAAAACCTTCCAATTGTACTGAGTTTGTATGTTTTTTGTTTTTGTTTTGTATTTCAGAGAGGAAGGTTAGAGGGAGAGAGAGAATCATTGATCAGCTGCTTCCTGCACGCCCCTACTGGGGATGGAACCCGCAACCCGGGCATGTGCCATTGACTGGAATCGAACCTGGGACCCTTCAGTTGCAGGCCGACACTCTATCCACTGAGCCAAATGGGCTAGGGCTAGGATGGACTTGTTTAAGCCAGTGGTTCCCACATGAGTTTAGCATGGAAGGTGTTGTTTTTTCCATGTAATACCTGTAAACATCTTGAAAGATACAATTTGGGAAACACGGTACTACATTATTCATTCATTGACTCTTAGAATCTAAATGTTAGAAAGAATCTTGTAGAAATTACTGAGTCTCATCGATCATGGGATTTCTGTCATGTCCCTGGGAAGTGTAATCCAGTTTCTGCTTGAGCACCGGTACTAATTAAGGAATTTAATTCTTTTGCAGTTCGGATGGTTTCAGAATGTTTTTCATTATGTAGTACCTGGATCTTCTCTCCCAGAGCTTCCAACCAGTAGTGCTTCTCTGGAAAATGAAGATAAAGCATATTAGCCAACCATAGTAATGAGTGTGTCTTAACAGTCTTGCTTTTCTTGTGTTATTGCGCAGGCACCTCTGTGGGCATATATTGCCTGTGCGTGTGGCCTTTTCATCTACCAGTCTTTGGATGCCATAGACGGAAAACAGGCGAGAAGAACCAATAGTAGTACTCCTTTGGGAGAACTTTTTGATCATGGTTGTGATTCACTATCAACAGGTACTATTGATTTTTTTTAAATATTAATGATTAATAGTGACAAAGGGGATGTGACAATGTTAGAATAAATAGGAGGTTTATGGTGGTATAATGGTTATCAGAATGGTGATTTTATATGTTTTAGTATTTCCAAAAAACTGTAAAACTGGTTAATGTTTGTTCATTATTCGCTGTATTGGGAAATTTAGAATTTATATTAATTTCCACTAAAGTTCTTTTTAACCGGAAGTATTATTGTTTTGGCACCAGTTATTTTTAAAAATCTTAGGGCATTGTTGTCATCATCAAAAAAATCTCATAAATTATAGATGTGAGTACAATAGTGGAAGACTAGGAAATTCCTAGTCTTTAGATGGATATTTTGCAGACATTTAAAATTATATCGTAGATTTGGGGTACAACTATGAGAAAAGGACTAGAAAAACACACTAATGTGCTAGCGATAGATGAGTTACTATAGTTAGGTTATAGGTGATATGTCTCTATTTGTACTGTGTGTAAAGTAATATCTCAGTACCTTTTTAGAGGGCAAAACAAGAGATTTAGGAACTAAATGACAGTTTCTAGCTAGTCTTCACCACCACCCACACACTTAGTTTTAATTAGTTCTTTAGTTGGTTTGTTGTCATTTGGCATAGCAATGAGAATATTCTAAAAGAAAAACAAAACCCTCAATAGTTTTCCCTCGTGGACTCAGATTTGAAGATGTGGGTGCACGTTAAAGTTACTGTTTCTATGTATCCTGACAGCAGAATGATAGGTATCCTGTTTTATTTTAAGTGATAGTCATTTTGGCTCTGTAGTTTTGAGTTCGAAACTTTTATAGGGAAGTCCGTAACGATATCTGCTAAGTAAGAAAAGACGGCTATCCATCTGAAACAAGTAGGTCCCTTTGTGAATTATCTTTTTCTTGTCTTTTTTAAAAATATATTTTTATTGATTTTAGAGAGAAAGGGAAAGGGAGAGAGAGAGAAACATCCATGATGAGAGAGAATCATTAATCAGCTTGCCTCCTGCACACCCCACACTGGGGATTGAGCCCGCAACCCAGGCATGTGCCCTGACCACACTGACCAGGAATCGAACCATGACCTCCTGGTTCATAGGTTGACGCTTAACAACTGAGTCACACTGACCAGGCTAATTTTTCTTTCTTTTTGACTCTGCCTTGTCATTTTTTTTTTTTACTGCTCATTAGTACACTATCACTAAGTTGGGAGAATACTCCAAAAAAAAAATGCTAAACTATTTTAGTTGCTTTCAAAAACTTAGGTTTTACTAAGTGTGTAGATCAGGGGTCACGAACCGGTGGTCCGTGGACCACTGGTGGTCCGTGAGGTCCAAAAGGTTGGAGACCGCTGGTGTAGAGAAAGAAAATATTGAAATTACAGGTAGCCCTACCTGGTTTGGCCCAGTGGATAGAGCGCTGGCCTGCGGACTGAAGGGTCCCGGGTTCGATTCCAGTCAAGGGCACATGCCCGGGTTGTGGGCTCCACCCCCAGTGGGGGGCGTGCAGGAGGCAGCCAATCAATGATTCTCTCTCATCATTGATGTTTCTATATCTCTCTCCCTTTCCCTTCCTCTCTGAAATCAGTAAAAATATATTTTTTTTTAAAAAGAAGAAATTACAGGGTAAACTATAATGTAAAAGATTATATTCTTTCTTGTTTATCATTGATAACTGAGATTGTACATTTACAGCATGTCTTTCTTTTGCCTCCTCTAAAATCATTTCAGCTGAGTGTGGGGCCTTCTTGTGTCTGTTTTTTTTTTTAATCCTCGAGGATATTTTTCCATTGATTTTTAGAGAGAGTGGAAGAGAGAGGGAAAGACAGAGAGAAATATTGGTGAGAGAAACACATCGATTGGTTGTCTCTTGCACTCGCCCCAACCAGGGCCCGGGAGGAGCCTGCAACTGAGGTTCATGCCCTTTCGGTCCACAGGCCAATGCTCTGTCCACTAAGCCGAACCGGTCAGCTCAGTGTTTTTTTACTCAGATTGTCCAGGTTTCATTGTGATCTTTCTTTTGCAGTGTTTGTGGTTCTTGGAACTTGTATTGCGGTGCAACTGGGGACAAATCCCGATTGGATGTTCTTTTGTTGTTTTGCTGGGACGTTCATGTTCTATTGTGCGCACTGGCAAACATATGTTTCTGGAACATTGCGATTTGGAATGTAAGTAGCACTTAATGGTTATTTTGTTTTATCTTTCAAGCAACAAGAATGTTGCTTATAGGTATTTGAATATTAGGTATTGGTCAGATTACAAAATTAGTTTAGTAAATGAAAGAAGTTGAGAACCCTCATTATTCTAGCTATTACCTAAGGGTCTCCATTATGTGTCCTTCTATCACAGTTTTTTTGGTTTTTGATTTTTTTTTTAATTGATTTCAGAGAGGAAGGAAGAAGTAGAGAGAGAGAGAAACATCAATGATGTGAGAGAATCATTGATCGGCTGCCTCCTGCACGCCCCCTGCTGGGGATCGAGCCTGCAATCCAGGCATGTGCCCTGACCAGAATTGAACTGGGACCTCCTGGTTCATAGGTTAACGCTCAACCACTGAACCACACCAGCCGGGCCTGTGTTTTATTTTGATCTATGAAAATTCATTTTCAGGAAAGAAAAAGATACTTAAAAAGAGCAAAGAGCAGCTCTAATTTCTAAATATCGTAGCTTAATAAGGTTTTATTCTTTTCACATTGTTTTATTTATGAATCTATAAAAATATAAACTCTTGGTAATTTGATTGACATGAGCACACCTTATAGGTTATTACTGCCAACAAAATGCCTAAGAATTTAAAAAATAAAATACAAAAACTCCTTCAAACTTCAAAGTGAATAGTTCAGCGTAGTGATCCATAAATATTAATGAGTAAACCAGTCTTGGAATGAGGTTAAGGGTGGAATTGACCAACTGGTGTTTAATTAAGTATCACAGATCCTATTTATACGGCTCAAGTTAATCTCTTATTTTTTTCATGGTGTAAGATTAAAAGAGAAAGAACTTGAAAAAAGACTCAGAATACATCATGAAATGTCAAAATAAAAATCTGATGGTAAATGATAGAACATCTTAACCTAGTCTCTAATTAAGATGAATCATTAATGGAGTTTTGAATATTAGATCCATAATGAATTTAGTTGTTGAGGTTTTGAAAAATACAGAGTGCATAGAAAGTCAGGTGTTCCCTACAAGTTTAGTTGAGATGACTTCTGCTAAACTTATTTAAATATAATTTAAGATGTTCTTATGACAATAACTAAATAATTATTAATATTTTGGATATTAACTAAGAGACATGTCTCAATTTTAAAATAAAGAGGTTTAGAGAACATGTTTAAGGCCCATTTTAAGATGTTATGTTTATTATAAGAGACAATAGTGGACGTGAGTGTCCAATTGAAGACTATGCATTCACCAGCAGTTTAAAAATGATCAGTGCTCAGAAAATATTTAAAATTTCTGATACTATTTTTTTTAAAATATATATTTTATTGATTTTCTTACAGAGAGGAAGGGAGAGGGATAGAGAGCTAGAAACATCGATGAGAGAGAAACATCGATCAGCTGCTTCCTGCACACCCGCCACTGGGGATGTGCCCGCAACCAAGGTACATGCCCTTGACCGGAATCGAACCTGGGACCCTTGAGTCAGCAGGCCAACGCTCTATCCACTGAGCCACACCAGTCAGAGCATCTGATACTATTTTTAAAAAGCACTATTTGAAAATATTATGTACCAATGTTTTTTTCCTCAGACTTCTACGATCACTTGGTTTGCCCTAATTAAGTGATGGTACTTTTTACTATCTGGATTTCACACAGTTTGTGTTCCATTGGTATGATCTCAGAGTTAACTTTCAGGCCCTTATTTTGAAAAGGTGTCTATCACCTACCCTAATGTATTCTCTTCCCCTTTAAGTAAAGCAGCATCACCCATATGGTGTGAGCCCCGAGGGAAGGAAAGCGAAAGCCCTGGAAGCAGGGGAGGAGGAAATGGATGGTGTTTGTGGGCATGACTTGCTCTTACAGCTTTCTGATCGCCAGCCTTAGCGTTGTCCTGGTGGCGTATTCCTTTGACGAAATACGTACTTGGAGAACTGCGGGCAGCGCCACATCATTAGCGCATCAGGTGCCTGTAGGGGAGTGGCAGGAGCTAGGGCTGGAGAAGACCCAGAAAATCCAGGGCCTTTGTCCTGCCCAGAAATGTGAGCTGTGATCCTGGATCTGTGGGGAACCTTTGCAGGGCCTAACCAGGCTCAGTCTGGCAGCATTCTGATGAGTGGATTGGAGTGGCTGTGACAGAAGGAAGGAGACCCCTTAGGAGGCATCAGCACAGTGAATGTGAGGAATGAACTCGCACAGAGACTGCTGTGGAAGAGGAAGGGGGAGGTTGGAGATTTAGAGGTAGAAACTGTAGGACATCTCTGTCTGGATATGGAGAGTGAGAGGGAGCGGAGACTGGCATGGCTCCCAGATCACCTTCTCAGGTGGGTGGATGGAAGGTAGAGAAGGCACTACAGGAGAAGGAGCCTTTTGAGAGAGAGAGAGGAAGGGAGGTAGAGAGAGAGAAACACTGATGTGTTGTTCCACTCAATTAGGCATTCATTGATGGATTCGTGTAGGTGCCCTGACCGGGGATCGAACCCCAAACCTTGGCATGGGGACGACACTCCAACCAACTGAGCTACCTGGCCAGGCCGGAGGAGCCTATTTGAAGGGAGAGTTCCATCTAGAAGATGTATATGGGCGATTTTAGACATCGGATAGGATAAGAATAGCAGAAAACATAGAAAGCAAGCCTAGAAAGAAGCCCTTGAAATTGAACAGCCGAGTAGGAGGAGGCATACCGGAATGGATTTTGAAAGAGAACAATGCTAAGTGCTGCCAAAACTCAAAATGAGGACAGAGAAGTGTACATTGAATTTGGCAGTGTGAGGCCGTCAGAGTGGTTTCTCTGTAGTGGGCAGAAGCCAGATTGTAGGGGTGACACGTGAAAGGAATACGTAAGCGCACAGTTAGCGCAGGCCACGTACAGAATGGGTGGCTGTGGTGGGAAGCAGCAAGAGAGAACGTGGCTCAAAGGAGGGAGGGTTTTATATTTTGTAAAAGTTAATTCCCACTAATTTTTAATGGAAAAGGTCCCAGCATACACAGGAAGTCGACTAGAGAGGAGAGTAGGGTAAAGACAGGAGCGACTGGCACTGCCTTACAATGGTGTGAAAATTACAGTGAGATATTGAGGCCAGTTTGCGTTTAACATCTCCATTTAAATTAAATAGTATTATAAGGGATTGGTTTTGATTTGGGAAAATTGTATACTATTTTCTGAAATCCTGCATTCACATTAAGGCAACGCTGAATTGATATTTTTAAATTAAAAGTAAGTTACCGCCTTCATAGAAATATGCTGCCAATGCTTTACATTTAAGAAGATATTTATCCAAATGCCAGTGTATATGGAGTAATAACGATATTTTTAAAGAAGTTCTGAAAACGCCATGCTGGCGTTCACATGTTTTGCAAGAGCAAGTAGCAGAGGAACATGTCTAAGGAAGCCAAGTCTGTGTCATGGAGGAGAAAGCCCAGAGTTTATTTTGTTTAATTAGGAAGGGCAAGGGCAACCCTCAAATGTAGTTTGAATAAAGAAATTTTTTTAAATCCCTTCTTCTTACTCAGAGGAAAGTGGAAGCAGCCTTAGGCCCCTTAGGAATTTTATTTTTAAATACTTATTTTAATTATCTTATTTTGATGTTTACACACATGTGTGAAAAAAATCACAAGGATTTCTTTTTATATACCATAAATTCAGGTTGCTATACCTTTAATAACCTTATAAAACAAAATGTTTGCCAAATTAGAAATTTGTTTTCCTTAGTCTCCTAATGTCACTATTTTTAGTTCCTGTTAAATGTGCTCTTAGTACCTTGAATAAAGAGGCCCAGTAATTTAATTCATCCATTACTAATTTCCACTCAGCATCAGGTATTGTGAGTGGCCGGTGTGAGCCACTTTACTCTGGTCACAGGTAAAAGCCGCCTTGTGCAGGGAGCAGTGCCCACCACAGCCGTACCCAGGGCCCTGTCCTGGCGGTGCTTCTGGTCTGAGCAAGTGGAGCTGGTGGATGAGTACTGCTCATCGGACCCTCCCAGGCCAGCTGAGCCCGTCAGGATCGTTATTATAAGCCTGGATAGGAAAGGCTGGGGAGGGAATAGGTTTAGAGGCTAGAACTTCGTAGAAGGATTGAGTCCATGGGAGAAGATAAGAATTATGAGTTGAAGCTCATTTGTAAACACTTGTAAAATATTCTTTAAATTGTTTGTCGATTATATTAAATGCAAGAGTTCACATTTCCTCTCTTAAGGTCTAAACCCTCCGTATCCAGGTATTTTTAATGTATAACATGTAGATGTCTGTGTAGAATCATTTTAATAAATTAAATGCTTAGAAACCCTAAACAATCCTTAATGAACTATATTTATGCAAACCGTGGGCCCTAAAAAATCTTTAAGATAGAACTCTTTCTTAAATTATCATTTCAGAAAAAACAACCTTCGTTTTTTAAAAAAAGTCTATTTTTATTGATTTCAGAGAGGAAGGAAGAGGGAGAAAGAGATAGAAACATCAATGATGAGAGAGAATCATTGATCGGCCGCAACCCGGGCATGTGCCCTTGACTAGAATTGAACCTGGGACCCTTCAATCCACAGGCCGATGCTCTATCCACTGAGCCAGACTGGCTAGGGAAAAAAACCCCACAACTCTGAAGTTACCTTTTCAGGAGGAAAAAAAAAGAAAGTAATTATAGTAAATTGAACTCAGGCCAGTGTGTCTTGCCTCAAGTGTCCTCTCCAAATGGCCTCCTCTGTACATCAGCTTGGGCAAGGCCCAAACCTTCATGGTCCTCATTCTCTAATGTATAAAGTAAGAGTTTGGGATTAGGTGACATCTAAGGTTCTTTCTGTGAGTCCATTAAGTTTACAAAGATTACTTCCAGAGTTCTTATTACTTATAATTATGGCAGGTAGAATATTTTTCTTCACTTTATTACATTTTTTTCTATAATTAAATGAAAAAAAATTAATAGGCTATGTATTCTACTGGTAGTCTGACAAATCCTGTTCACCTTCTTACCCAGGTAACCTCTAAAGCAGAGCTAGGGAACCGTTTT